CTGGCCCCCAAATTTCCATACAATCACCTGTCGTGCTGACGTGCACAGGCCCATGAGGTGGAGGCTTAAGAAATATTTCTAGATGAAAAGTTATCACGGACATTATTTGGAGCTTATCACATCCCAAGGACTTCACTTGCGTCATCCTAGCTAAACAGCGGTGGAGCCAGGACTCGAACGCAGCTCTCTCATGCCAAGCCAGCCCCTGAGCTACTACAGACTTGGCCTCCCTCCAGCCCTTTGGGGAACTGGGCTTGGCATAGCTGCCCTCCCTCAGCATGGGGCCCACCCAGGTTGAGGTCCCACTCAGTTTGCTTCCTAAGCCAGCCCGACCCTCGACCATCTATCCCCATGGAAGGGCAGGCCAGATCCTCTGGGTGAGCCCCTGAGAGGTGTGGGCTGGGGTTGGCATCTGGTAGGCTCTGGCAGGGTCATGCTCAGGCCTCCTGGGCTTTTGTGCTGGGAGCTGTGTGTGGGAGGGGTCAGTGGGGGGAAGAGAACCACAGGTCAATTTGCACCAATTGACTCTCATATATCCCCTGACCCCCACATGGCCTACTTATACGCATGCTCATGCCCTCACCAGCACACACACACACACACACACACACACACACACACACACTCATTGCCTCTATGAGTCATTTCCCAGCTGCTCAAAAGGGTGGGGAGGCTAATTTGTTCCACTCAGGCGCAGGGCTTCCTGCCCTCTGTTGGCTCCGATCTTTCTTTTAAAATCTTTTCTAGAGTTAGGGTCTCACTATTTTGCCCAGGGTGGACTCAAACTCCTGGGCTCAGTTGATCCTCCTGCCTCAGCCTCTCAAGTAGCTGGGACCTCAGGTGTGTACCACCATGCCTGGCATCAGACCTTTCTAAGGAGCCGCTAAGCAGATGCCCCCCCCCCAACAAACTGGTGTTTGGCCCTGTTGCTCACACTGGCAAAGTCCTCCACCCCAGAAACTACTCTGGGGATGCTTCCTCCCCAACTACTCTTTGGAGATCCTTCTCCAAAGCTAGACTGATCAACTGGTGTTTGGGGGACGGGATGTTTGCTTAGGGGCTTCCTAAAAAGGTCTGATCCTCCTCTACACTCACATCTAAGCCCACCTCACCTGCCCTTGGACACATCACCCCTGCACACAGAGCTGCCTCCCTTCCCCTGCCTGCTCCTCGAAGCAGTGTGTCCACGGAGAGGCTGCCAAGAGGCCTGCTCACACCTGATCCTGGGCCTGCAGAACTCCAGGCAACCTGGTCATCCAGACCCTCCATCCACCCCCAGCCATCCAGGGAGGGTGGGCTTCAAGTCCTCCCGACTTAAGACAGGGGAGCTGGGGCACGGTCCAGCACTAGAGGAGAGGCTTTCAGCAACAATCTGAAACCTGGAGGAAAGAAAGGCTGACACATGGCTCCCCTGCTCCCATAACCCCAGGCATGACCCCTGCAGCACTTGGGCCCTGCCGGTCACTCTCGGAAAGTCCTACCCCAGTGACTACTCTGGGTGCTTCCTCCCCAGCTGCTCTTTGGAGATCCTTCTCCAAAACAAGACTGATCAAGAACTTGCCAACCTCAAAAAAGCTAAGCGTTGACAGCAGAACTTACTGAAAGGTGGGCCGGAGGGACCCTGCTCGGCTGCTCTGGCATCACAGCCATCACGGCCACAACTGCAAACCACAGTCCTTCATGGAAGGCTCTCTGCAGTCCACTTTATAGAAGGACCCTCACCTGGCCAGGCTCGGTGGCTCAAGCCTGTAATCTCAGCACCTTGGGCGGCTGAGATGGGTGGATCACTGGAGGTCAGGAGTTAGAGACCTGCCTGGCCAACATAGTGAAACCCCGTCTCTACTAAAAATACAAAAATTAGCCAGGCGTGGCGGCACATGCCTGTAATCTCAGCTACTCAGGAGGCTGAGGCAGGAGAATTGCTTGAACACAGGACGCAGGGGTTGCAGTGAGCCAAGATCACGCCACTGCACTCCAGCCTGGGAGACGGAACGAGACTCCGTCTCAAAAAAAAAAAAAAAAAAAAAAACTGGGCGTGGTGGTGGACACCTGTAGTCCCAGTGACTTGGGAGGCTGAGACAGGACAGTCGCTTGAAGTCAGGAAGCTGAGGTTGCACCACCTTACTCCAGTCTGGGTGACAGAGTGAGATTCCATCTCAAGTAAATAAATAAAAATAAATAAATTAATTAATTAAAAGGGAGACCAGATAGGGAAAAAAGCCCACCCTCGAACTGCAGCTCCAAAGGGTGCCCAGAGCTGGACAAAGCTGTCCTTCTTGTAACTCTCTCCTTTTTGTATCCCCAGGGTGAGACATTTTATGTTGGGGTCACAGACTGCCAATAGCCACAATAATACTGGTGAACACGTATGTGGAGCCAATGACATGCCAAGCACTGTTCGAGGCACCTCACATGTCCATGAGCACATTAACTTCTCACCCTGATCCTGTGATCTGCCCCATTTGACAGATGAGGAAATTGAGGCACAGGGAAGACAAGTAACTCACCAGCTGGTATTTACACAGTAAACTAGGATCAGAAGCCTGGCCCTCAGCGTTTGAAAGAAACCCTGGCTCTTAATCAGGAGGTGAACCGTGACCTTCAAGCACCTATGGGGTAGGTGGGGGTGCCTGGTTTCACAATCCAGTTCAAAAATAGGATGGGGGTCAGCAACTATAGGGGTTTCACTCTTTCCTTTTACAAGAGGGCTCCTGGCAGAGGACCCTTCCGGGGCTCTGTGGCTTCCCCACCACCCCTACTGTCCCTGGCCTCCTTGAGCCCCTCTCTCTCCTCCAGCAGCCCCATCCCCCCAACAAGGGCTGTTGACTGAAAACTGCAGGGAATAAAAATAGCTGCTGCTGATGAGGCAGAACTGGAGCCAACACGCATAAAAGGCCGGGGCGGGGGCGCTGCAGGGAGCCTGGGATCCCCCACCCCAAGGAGCACCTTCCAATGGAGCCATGGGAGACCTGGCCTGTCCCTTCCACAGCAGGGCTGGGGACCCCTGCCGAAGTCACCAGAACTGCTCAGAACCCCACACCTGCCCCAGACGTAGGACTGCCCATGAGACCCATTGCCCTCGGCCCCCACCCTGCCCCGCACCAACCAGCTCCCTCCCCAGGGGGTGGGGGCCTTGGCCTCTGTGGACAGACCATGGCTACTCACACAAGCTTCGCGCCCCAGGGAAATGACAGGAGTCAAGGGCCTGACCCTTCCTGGTCCTTGACACCCTTCTCCAGCATCCCCTCCCTTCTCTCAAGCTGTTTTCTGGGGACTCCGGGCCAGATTTTCCCTTTGGAGAGAGCCTTTCCACCCTCCCTGTAGGTTCCAACACTTCCTGCCTCTCTGGTTTTGCCTCCTCGGGGGAGCCTTCTCTGAACCCCACCCCTACCCTGAAGCTGTACTGTCCCCACCCCCACCCCCATCAGATCTGTCTCCCTTCCTGATGGCCAGAGTTGCCCCCCAAAGGCAGACATGTTGTCAGAAGCACCCCAACACCTGACGAGTTCCGTGCCTTCAGATCAAACTTAGGGCTTCCCTGGGCCTGGTCTGGGGTTTCGGCAGAGACCCTGGGGAACAAAACAAGTGAAGCAGGTCTCCACCGACACTCAGGTCAGCCTTGAGCTGAGGAGGTGACCCCAGAGGCTGGGCTCCCACCCCAGGCCACTTTCCAACCAGAAATGACGAGCAGGGCCAGGCTGGGATGGAGCCACCTAGGAAGGACCCTCCGTGGCCTTCCCCAGTCCCCCAGAATCCCAGCACAATCCCTTGAGAGATGCCAGGGATGGAGAGGGGGAGGGCTGCTGAGGAGCCCAGGGGCAGGGCCCATGTGGCCAGGGGGCTATTCAGGCCCTTACCAGGCTCACCTGTGCTCAGTCGCCCTGCCTGACACAGCTCCCAAGGCCCTTGCATCTATTTACATGGTCCCGCACAGGTGACATGGCTCCAAATGCTAGCACAGTGACCATAGCTGTCCACACCACTGCCACACAGAGTGAGGCCACTGGCCAGGGGTGAGGCACTTGGGGGTGACCCAGAAGAATCTAGAGGGTCTTGGTAGAACCAGCCCTCCCTGCCTCCAAAACTACATCCCCCCAGCTCTGCTCAGGCCACTCTGCCTTCTCCACCAGCCATGGCCCCCCCCAGCAGGGAGGGCGGGTGGGAGGGGGATGTGGTCTGTCCCAGCCCTGACCCCTGGACCCCACTCTCCGGCCCTGCGTCTCCTCCTAAGACCCCCCAAGACTCCTTCAGAGTCCCCTTTGGGCTCTGGTCCCATATTCTTGCCCCCAAGCTGGGCTTTCTGCTCCTGTCCCCATGTCCCCCTCGCCTTCCCAGCAGGGCTCAGCGCTCTCGACTTCTCTAGGAAAGCAGCCCAGCCATGCTGGGTGGGCTGGGGGAGGGGCAGGGACGTGGGCAGAGCCTGGGATGTGTCCTCTGCTGGCATCTCACAGATTCCTGTTCTCAGCAGAGCAAAGGAGCCGCCAGCCGGCACCCCCCACCCCAGCCTCCTGCGCTCTCCTTCCCTCCAGCCCCCGAAACCCGGCCTCTGAGCCACACAAACAGGCCAAGCAAAGTCACTGTTTCAGCTCCTTGCTCCCGTCTCCTAAAGAAACTGCAGCCCCGTTCTGTGTCCCTTGGGTCACCCCAGCTCCTCCGGAGCCAAGCCTTAGCCCATGGGCTGTTTGTGACCAGAACAAGGAACTTTGCTAAGGACAGGAACAGCTCACCAGGCAGGGGCAGAGGGAACAGATGACCGGACAGAGAGAGCCAAGTCTGGGGCCAGAGAGAGGGTCCAGGCACCAGAAGATTCAGCAAGGGACGTGGGGCAGGGCCGGCTTGGGCCACAGAGCCCTGTGTGGGCAGGCGGTCAGCGGTACCCAGAACAAACTGGTGACTTTCTTGGAGCCAGGCTGGGGTTGGGGCCAGAGAGGCTGGCCCCTTGGGGTGGCCTGCCCCTTGGGGTACCTGGCCCGGGGCGGGTGTGGGGGCGCAGTACTCACTATTGGACAGGAGCAGAGTGGTTGCTGACAAGCCCAGAGCGCTGTGCCCACCTCGGGCTGGGGCTGGAACTCTGGGGGACTTGGCTGGGGGGCCGGGCCGGCGAGGACAGCTGCTACCGCTGATGTCACAGGGTCATGAGTGAAACCTGAGGACTGGGCCGATCTTCAGGTGGGAGCCTCGGCCACACTTCCCTCGCTGGGTGTGCTCTGGGCTCAGCCGGCAACCGCCTGGGTTCCGGACCTCCCTGCCCTAGGAGTGACAGACTCCCGGGCACACGCACCCATCCACACGGGCACATGCACACTCACTCACGGGTACACACGTATGAGCTGCATAGGCAGTTCCTCTCCCAACCTCAACAGTTTACACAGGCTCAACTCACACTGGAATCTGCATTCACACTGACTTCCAGAAGCACTCCCGAGGCACGCGCTGGCTCACACTCAGTCACGTGAGTGCACACTCATGGACGCACCCACACAAAAGCTGTGTTCCTGCAGGCTCAGCCGCGTGCAAATCACCCTTCGTATGTTCACGGACGCCTCCTCTGCTGTTACGCCCATTACCACACACACTCCAGCTCACATGCACAAACACACTAGAACCAGCACAGCAGGCTTCTGCACATACACATGGCTTCTATATGTGCCCACAGCACAAATGCCACATCGCACAAACACAAGGCTCTTACTGAGGGCCTATCTGTGTGTACACACACCATAGCACACGCACACACACACATATCCACTACACCACACACACACACACACAGCCACAGCCACACACATACAAACACACACACAGCCACACCCACAACCACAGCCCCCCCCCACACACACACCCATAAACGCCCCCACAGCCACGACCATACACACACACACACACACACAGCCACACACACCCACAGCCGTGCCTGTGCGTTTGTGGATTTTCACAATGTAACTTATGCTCCTGTTCACATGGACTAAGTGTCACCTACATGGTCACTAGATGTGTGCCAAGCATACGCCCATCTGTACACTCAACTCTCACATCACACACCAGATACATATATGCACTCACACCCCCTCCTCCGGCTGTTTAGCTGGACCACACAGGCGTCTCAAGGTCCCTTCTCCACCCGCACACCCACTCCCTGGCTATAGTCCCTGGCTGAGGGAGGGCTGTGCTGGGGGCCAGGTTGATGGACCCCCCCCCCCGACCCCTCCACTCTGGAGCTCTGGTGACCCCTGGTGGAGCCGCTGTGAAGTGACCCCTGGTGGAGACGCTGTGAAGTGCCCCCCTGGCTGCAGGCTGGAGAAGCCCCAGGGGAGCCCTGTCCCTGAGCCCTGGTTCTCCCAAATCCATCAGCCTTGGCAATCCTGTGCCACCATCTTTCCCGGCTGCCCCGTGCCCCAAGTGAGCTGAGCCTGGGTCAGAGTGGCCTTTGACGGAAGCATAGGGAGGCCTGGGGAGGGGCTGCCCTTCCTTGTCCCCACAGCAGCTCCACTCAGACTGTGGACACATCTTTAGTCCTAGCCAAGCCCCTCCTGGGGGCCAGGCTGCTCGTGGTTCCAGAAGTTTCGGCCAGATCTTACGCCCGTCTCGGTCCTGCTCTGGTTGTGGCCTGTGGTTCCCGAGGACTCGCCTCACACCCTAGGGCTGTTTCGTAAACCAGGTGTGACACTGGTGTTTCTCCATGCAGAGAATCCTGACTTCCATTTAGAATTATTTCTGTTCTTTTTGTTGTTGTTGTTTTTGAGCAGAGTTTCACTCTTTTTGCCCAGGCTAGAGTGCAATGGTGAAATCTTGGTTCACTGCAACCTCCACCTCCTGGGTTCAAGTGATTCTCCTGCCTCAGCCTCCCAAGTAGCTGGGATTACAGGCATGTACCACCATGCCTGGCTAATTGTGTATTTATAGTAGAGATGGGGTTTCACCACACTGGCCAGGCTAGTCCTAAACTCCTTACTTCATGTGTTCTGCCCACCTCGGCCTCCCAAAGTGCTGGGATTATAGGTGTGAGCCACAGCACCCGGCCCATTTAAGATTTTTTCAACTTCACAATGGGTTTATTGGGACAGAGCCCATGGTAAGTGGAGGGGCACCTGCACGTGGTTCTTCCTCCAGCTCCGCTCACTGGAGAGACACGCGCGCACACACTCACACCCACACAGCAGGCTCCTGCACATACACATGGCTCCTATATGTGCCCACAGGCACACTTGTGCCCCGAGCAACACAAATGCCACATCGCACAGACACAAGGCTCTTACTGAGTGCCCTCTGTGTGTACACACGCCACAGCACAAGCACACACCCACCCACAACTACAGCCACACACACACACCCACAACTACAGCCAATACACACCCACCCACAACTACAGCCACACACACACACACAACTACAGCCACACACACACCCACAACTACAGCCACACACGCACACCCACAACTATAGCCACACACACAAACTACAGCCACACACACACACACTACAGCCCCCCACACACAACTACAGCCCCTCCACACACAACTACAGCCACACGCACACACACTACAGTCACACACACACACAACTACAGCCACACACACACACCCGCTCCCTCTTGCTGGAGTTTCATCGTTGATGTCATCCAAGCGCCTGCCCAGCCTCCCTCTTCTTGGCAAGCGTCTGCTCCTTCCAGCATTTGGAGGAAAAGCAAACAGTTTTCCCATTTCCTCCCCATGCTGTCTCCCCGAAGCTGCTCCTCAGGATCCCTCTCATCACCCCCAGCCCTGCTGTGGCTTCAGGTCACTTTGCTGCTGGTCACCACCCCGAAGATCACCTGGCCACTGCTCCTGTCTGTGGGCACGAGAGAAGAGGGGGCGGGAGCTGCCATTATTCCCATTTATGGCTCTATCCCTTGGTTTCTACCTCACCATTGCCCAAAGCTCTAGAGGACAAGACCTTTTTATAAGAGGGATTGGAGTAACTGAAGGGGAATCACCACATATGAGCAGGCGGGGCTGCCACATTCAGTTGCATGGGTTGCGCACTACACAATTCTGGGCACCAAGCACATTGCAAGCATTGCAGAGTAGAATGCTTAAGATGATGATGTTCTGAAAGATGGCAGCAAAATGCCTAGGGTAAGGGGATAATTTTTCTAATTTGCACAAAGTGTCTTTGGACTAGGGATGGGCATGACTGGACAACGAACGCTGTATGTGAAATATGGCTTTTTCTCCACAGCCTAAGAGGAATGAATGCTTCCCTCTCTTGGCTCCTTCCTTTGGGGAACGGCTCCGCCCCTACTCCATCCAAATATGTGATTCTTCCAACTTGCTGCTTAAAGGATGACCTCCTCCCCTACCTAACACAGGAAGGGGAATGTCACCCACCCCTGGCAATCCTGTGGACCATAGTGGCACATCCAAAACCTGGGGACATGACTCAAGCTGGACCAATCATAGTCCTTCCCTGGGAGTTACATGTACTGAGACAAAAGAAAGACAATCTCTCTGTTCTTGGGAATTTCTAAACGTGTCTGAAGGAGCCGGGGTGTGTCTCCCACCTGTGGAGGAAGCTTGTCTGTAGGAGGAGGGAACAGGAACATCAAACAGAGAAGGAGAGATGCAAGAGGGGAGGGAAGGAAGGAAGGAAGGGAGAAAGGGAGGGAGGGAGGAAGGAAGGGAGAGAGGGAGGGAGGGAGGGAGGAAGGAAGGGAAAGGGAGGTAGGGAAGAAAGGAAAGAAGGAAGGAGGGAGGGAGGGAATGAAGAGGGAAGGAGGGAGGGAGGGAAAGTGGGACAGAGGGAAGGAGGGAGGGAGGGATGGGAAGAAGGGAAGGGAAGGAGGCAGAAAGGGAGGGGAAGGGTGGGAAAGGGAGGGAAGAAAGGAAAGAAGGAGGGAGGGAGGGAAGGAAGGAGGAGAGAGGGACCTGAGGACACTGTTTGAGTCTCTGAACCAGTTAAACTATAGACCAGCTCCATTACTGTCCTGTCACATTAACCAAAAAAGCCCACCCTTTCTTCTTAACCTAGTTTCAACTGAGTTTCAGTTACTCACAAACAAAATAATTCTGCGAAACAGAACCATCTCTCAGAGCCTGACCCACAGGAATTGGCCCAGTCACATCCCACTTCACACCCCACTCCACCCCCGCTCCCGGCCTGCCTCCTCAGCTTCCTCCCTGAGCAGTTTCATTGGGGTGATTTCCTGGGAACTATAGCAGCAGCATGCTCCCTCGTGGATGGGGGTGCCCTGACTTCAGGGGCCAGGAGGGGAGGCTCTGGAACTCTGCCCCACAGTGCAGTTCCAATGGAGTGGGACCTCGAAGTCAGGTCCCCATCACAGGGCGTCCCGCCTGTGTGATGCGCTCACTTCTAAGTCCTCAGAGCACCAGCAGGGGTCTGTTGGACAAAGCCACACTGAGCATCTCACCAGGATAAGCATGATTTGCAGAAACAGTGTAGCTAGAACCTCTAAGCCGAAATTGGAGTTTCTTCACTGTTGAATTCTCAGGGTTCCCGCTCTCCCAGATAGCCAGTCACTCACATAATTCTGTAGAGCAAAGTTTACTTCCTCTCCGTCAACTTTCACATTGCAGCTCCTTCTAATTTGTGTCTCTTTAGAAACTGGGCCCAAGGAAAGGGCTGATTTCCTGGGGTCACTCTCTGAACAACGCTTCCTCAAATGTACCAAAAGTAGCTTTAACATTTCCACTTGGATTCTTAGAAAGGGCCCTTTTCTCTCCATTTTCATCTGAGGAAAAGAGGAGGTAGCTTATTTTCGCAGTTCCGTGATTTCTAATAAGGACACAATATTCCTTTGAGTGAACTGACTTCATTCATTCAACTATCCCTCTATTACTGGACATTGGGTAATGTTCGATTTTTTTTCTTTTTCTGAGACGGAGTCTCTGTCGCCCAGGCTGTAGTGCAATGGCGCCACCTTGGCTCACTGCAACCTCTACCTCCCAGGTTCAAGCAATTCTCCTGCCTCAAGCTCCCTAGTAGCTGAGATTACAGGCGAGAGCCACCACGCCCGACTAATTTTTGCATTTTTAATAGAGATGGGGTTTCACCATGTTGGCCAGGCTGGTCTTGAACTCCTGACCTTAAGTGATCCACCTGCTTCAGCCTCCCAAAGTGCTGTGATTACAGGTGTGGACCACCAGGCCCAGCCAAATGTTCAATTTTTAACCTTTAAAAATAAGACTATGATGAACACGTTTGAGTATAAATATTTACCTAGGCTTAGCTTATTCCCAAAAATAGATTTACCAAGGCAATGGGGAGGAACTTTAGTACATACTGTCTTGGGATACAAAAAAAAATCTGAAAAACAAAATAATCCAAAGATGACAACAAGAGTTCCTATTGAAAAGAAGATAAAAAGGAAACAGGTGGAGTGTTCAGTGTCTCAAAGAAAAAGAACAGCTGGCAAGGCAAAGAGCAGGGAGCGAGTTGCCCGCTGTTCTGTTGCGCTGATATGAGATCTTCCACCAGCTCAGGCGGGTAAGTGTGTGGCTTTCCTTTCTTCATGGCAAATGCTTCCGTTTGTTTTGACAAAGAAATCAAATTGAATACCACAAGCCAGATAGCTTTTCTCAGCCTTGTTTTTTAAAATACAAGTTTCGTATATGGTTAACACGTGCTTTTACTTCTGAGGCTCTGGAATGATCACATCTTCCTGTTTCCTACAGTACCACTAGCCTGCTGCCTTCCTTAGAGGGACAAGGGTGGTGGCCTCTTTGCTGGACTCCCTGCCTCCAGCCTACCCTCAGTTGAATCTATGGGCCATTGTACACCCAAACCCATTCTCTTCAATGTCTATCTCAGTATTTCACATCTCTGAATGCAAACATATCACAGAGCTCCTTAAGTCCCTTTTCCAGGAGTTTTCAGTAGCCGGGAGGCAGAAGCGGAGTGAGTAGGAGGCTGATGTCTTCGTTGGGATTCCTCCAAAAGCCGACCGAGACACAAGTCTTGGGGAGCAGTCATTTCTTTGGAAGGAGATTCCACGGAGCACTATGAGAAAGTAGAGAAGGGGCAGAGAGGAGAAAGGCAGTGAAGTATGCGTTTCTGAGCAGGTCACTGTGGGCCACTTGGCACAAGTCCATGGGCATCACTGAGAGGCTCTGTGGGAGGCACCTTAGAGTTGTCGCACTGAGTCGGGAGGCTGCGCATTTAGCTGTCAAGTCCCATCCATTATTGCTTGTGGGCTGCTCCTGGCCACTTTCTGGCCTGTCTCACCTGTGGCCAGGTGTTCTCAGGTAGAGGGGCTACAGGTGAATGCAGGAACCCTCTACAGAAGACCCTGGTGAGGCTGGGGGATGCAGGCCAGCTCTGACGGCTGCTTCACATTTGGATCTCTGTGTGTGTGTGTGTGTGTGTGTGTGTGTGTGTGTGTATTCATTCACACATGCACATATATATTCACACATGTATATGCATATGAATTTTTTTTAGATGGAGTCTGTTGCACAGGCTGAAGTGCAGTGGCACAATCTTGGCTCACTGCAACCTCCACCTCCCAGGTTCAAGTGATTCTCGTGCCTCACTTTCCTGAGTAGCTGGGATTACAGCCACCTGCCACCACACCCAGCTAATTTTTGTATTTTTAGTAGAGACAGGGTTTTACCATGTTAGCCAGGCTGGTCTCCAACTCTTGACCTCAAGTGCTCTGCCTGCCTCAGCCTCCCAAACTGCTGAGATTACAGGTGTGAGCCACCATGCCTGGCCTTATGCATATGATTTTTAAAACAAAAATAAGATCTTACTCTGCTGACTGATATTTTTGACTCAACTCTGTTGGACAACTTTCCACATCAACAGAGATATTCTATTCCCACATTATCCATGGCCGAACAGTATTCTATTGGGAGGATGCATCCCCATCAGACATATGTTTGTTTTAGAGATAGGTCTCACTCTGTTGCCCAGGCTGGAGTGAAGTGACATGATCATAGCTCATGGCATCTCAAACTCCTGGGCTCAAGTGATCCTCCTGCCTCAGCCTCCTGAGTAGCTGGGACTATAGGCACAAGCCACCGCACCTGACCCCCATCAGACATTTGTCGTTTCTAACTTTGGTTGACATGACAAAGGTGGACAAGAAGCATCTCCCTGAAACACAGCTGGCCACATCGCTCAGGATTTCCCTCCTGCTTAAAACCCACGGATAGCTCTCTATTACCCACAGGGCCAAGCTTCAATTTCAAACCTTGGCCCTGTGGGTAATAGAGAGCTATCCAAGGCATTCAAGTGTGACCTGTCCCTGGGCCTCTGCTCCCTGCCCAGCTCCTCTTCCACAGTCAGTTTGACCCACTGGGTCATCTCCGGTCCTATCCATTCATACAGTTGGGTCTTGACGTGGGCTGTTGCCCCCAGCCTGACAGCGCCTGTCTTCCCATGCTGCTTGGCCCTATCAAGCACTGTTTTCCTTGGAACCCCATCCTCCCTCGATCAAGTCCTCTCTTTTTCATGATCCCTGACTGCTAGTCTTACCTTTCTGCTCTCTTTTCATGGATACATTTTCACTTCCCAACAATGCTGGGACCAGTGACCACACTGCTTATGTCTCCAGCATTCAGATGGCACCTTGCACATGCAGACGCTTCCTTGGTCAAGGTTGGTTGACAATGAGCAAAGTGGGTGGTTCTCTTTCTACCTGGATTGAGAGTGGAGGTGGAGAGAGGCACCTCTGTGTTCCACTCACTGCGGGGCTGTGACCCCAGTGCCTGGATCTCAGACTGTTGATGGCTGTTGAAGACGTAAGACCCATGGGGACTGGAAAGCACTGCTCAAGCCCCCCTCCCCTAGAGACAGGGGCCAGGGAGCCAAGGGGGAGGCAGGAACCGTCTTCCTGGTTCTTACTCCAGGACTGCCAGGAAGGGGAGCTGACATGGAGAGTGGGTGCTAATCCCAGCTTCCTGTCTGGATTTCCCTTGACTGCTGCCGGGGCCCTATCTTAGGATGGTCACAGCTACAGAAATAGATCTCCCCTTTCACCTGTTCTTAAGCGAGGAAGACTTTGCTAACTTCCTGTGAAAAGAATGCGTGCTTTGGTAACTTTTCCAGTACAGGAGACAGTACTGGGACAGGGTGCTGAAGTCACCACGAGTTTCCTCGTCTGAGGAGCAGTGGCTCACCTTGGCCAGGAAACAGGGGGCAAACAGCTGCAAGGAGAGAGGGGAGAAGCCAGCCACGTGTTTCCAGCCAGAGCCCCCAGCCAATTCCGTGAATTCTGGCGATGTTTCCTTCCTTGGTCTGCTCCAAAAACCAGTCTTTGCTGGCAGGAAGCCCCTCTGTCTGAGAGAGTGACAGGGAGCAGAACCTCTGCCCTCCTCACTGGCCTGCCCTGGCCCCCAGCCTCCTCCTACAAAAGTCTCTGTTTCTCCTGAACTCATCAGCTGAGTCAATCCGGCTCTGGGACCCGAAAACCAAGCCTCCCAAGCCACTCGCTTATTCACTGAACAAACATGGCACACCTCCCTCTCCCGCACCAACCCAGCCCCAGTTCTGGGGACTGGCAAGATTTAGGGAGGGGAGCCCGGAGCAGCGCTACGGGAGGTGGACATCCCGGGGAGGAGAGACGGGCCTCCTGGTGGCGGGGGAGGGCTCCTAGGGACCCCAGGTCCGAGAAGGAGGTGAGAGGAGGGAATTGGGAGGTGGAGCACCCAGGAGCACGGGGCGGGGGGTGGGGGGGAGGCTCCACGCATGCGTGGAAAGAGACCTTGGCGTCCTCGACGTTGCTAAGACAACCGACGCCAGCCATGGCCTCTGGGGCGGGCAGGAGCTGGGGTCGCTCCCCACAACAGAGCACAGCCCTGGCGGTGAGGGTTGAGCCCGGGAGCAGATCCTGCCTTAGCTTGGGGGACAACAGAGTGGGGAGCGGTCTCTGGAGGGGCCAGACCCTGGAAGGGGAGTGTGGGCGGGTGGCGAGGAGAGAAACCCCCAAACCAAGAGGAAGAGGCGTGGCAGGGAGAGGGCAGGCCACTGGGTGGGAGGGGAGAACTCGGCCCCTGCGGGGTTAGGGAGGCCACTGGCCGGGAGGGGTTGGGGCTCGCAACGTGTCCCCATCCATTTTCCCCACCCTACCTGGCTGACTCCACACACGCCCCCAGCCCTGGGTCACCGTCCTGCAGCCCCTCTCATGGGCCATCCCATCTGCGCCCCTGCAGCCAGGCCGTGTGAAGGAAGGTGAGACTCCCGGGTCCTCCCCACCCCCTTTACACCACCACCATCACCACCACTCACCCCCTTCTGCCTCACACATCCTCTGGGAGTCCCTGCAGCACAACCCGCCCACCCATTCTGCGCTCCTGGGGACAGGGGTGTCAGGGGGCGGGGTCCCGGAGGCCCGGCGTGGGCTTGCTGAACTCGCTTCCTAGACCTGCTGGAGCTGCTGATGCTGCAGAACGCACAGATGCACCAGCTGCTGCTGAGTCGCCTGGTGGCCGGGGCGCTGCAGCCCGGGCCCCCCTGGCCTTGCCCTCAGGTGTGTGTGGATGGGCCACCGGGGTCACTCACCTGCGGGTCCAGGGATGGGGATCCAGCTGGGGTTCCTGTTCAGGGCGAAGAACTGGGAGACAGAGGAGCAGGAAGCCAGCCTGTTTCTCTGGCTGGGGCTGCTGGACATCTGTTACGTATCAGGCCTGTTTCAGCGTCCATGAAAGGTGGGTGGTAGGGGGAAGAGACTCCCCCAAAGTCCAGACCACCCAGGTCTTGTTTTCAAGGAGGTTACCCTGGAGTGCCCCCCTACCCCTGACACTGGACTTCAGGCTCCAGGAGGGCAGGCACCCTGGTAACCCTGTCTGCATGCATCATGAGCACCTGGCCTGGTGCCTGCCACTGTGGAGGGGCTTAGCTGATATTTGTTGAACAAGTGAATGAATAAATGAATGGTTAGGAATACACGGCCAGGTTGGCTGTGATGGCACATGGACAGGTACAAAGCACAAGTGCACACTGGGTTGGGGGTTGGGGACAGGCTCCTTGGAGGAGCAGGGGACCTTAGAACTAGCCTTTGAAAGCCAGGTAGGATTTTGATCCTTGGAGGAGGCAAGGGGTGTGTACCCCATCCAGGCTGGCAGGGGCAGAGTCAGGAGACAGAATGGGGGAAACCGTGTGTGGCCGTGTGTGCACGCGCATGCACAAGTGTGTGTGTGCAGGCATGTGTGCGTGTGTGCAAGCGGGTGTGCGTGCGTGTGCACATAGCTCTAAGGCTGAGCCTTACTCAGCCAACGATGGGCATTCTGAAGTCAGGAGAAGCAGGGACTGGGTGGAGAGAGGATGCTAGTCAGCTCGGAGGAGGCGGAGAGGGGTTCAAGGACCCAGGCAGAGGGAGCCCCTGAGGAGCTACTGCCATCCCTCACCCCTGGGCTCTCAGTGATGACACATACATAGGTGGGTCCAGAGGCTGGGGGTGAGGCCAGGGACAGCTCAGTGGACTCCTGGCCTGAGCTCTGGGTTCACACCTGGAATCTTCCAGTCCCTGCTATGCCTTAGGAGCTGGGTGGCCTTAGACAAGTTGCTCAACCTCTTTGAGCTTCAGTTTTCCCACCTACATCGTAAGGAGTAAAAGTCTCCAAAATGCCTTGCCCGCATGTAGTAAATGCTCAGCAAACACAAGCCATTCTTATAAAGCCTATCTGGAGGGAATAACTTAGGGGAATGGAGGAGTGAGGGTAGGGAGAGCCTGATCCTGGCTTCTTGTTTCCCCTCCCTGTTTTGCACAATCCCCAGGTCTACCTGGAGGTTCCGAAGGAAGAGCCTGAGGAGGAGGAGGAGTTGGACACACAGGAGAAAGGGCCTTTGGTGTTTCACCACCACTACCTGTCCTACCCGATGCCCTCCCCGAGTGCCCTGCTGCCCTGGCCAGCCCCCTTCTTCCCTGCTCCCACCTGTCAGACCCACTTGCAGGATGTGCCCAGGATTCAGCACTGGCCTCCTGCCTCCAGGGAAAGGGAGGCGTAAGTGAGGCTGGGTGCTGCCAGGCGTCTGCTCAGGGGCCAGGCTAGAAGAGCTGTGCAGGGGCTGCTGGTCAGTGGAGATAACTTGTGGGTGAAACCCCAGAGCCATCCCAGGCCTCTGATGGGGCTTTTTTCTCTCCCCCGTCTCAGGAGGGCTGTGCCCCCACCCCCACCCCCCAGCGCCACAGGCACTGTGGGCGCCGATGTACCCCCGGCTTCAGGTAGGGCTGGGGTGGTGGGCAGCCCAGGCCTGGGAGTGAATCAGGAGGCCAGGAGGGCCCTCTGGCGGGGGGTTGGGGGTTTTCTACCATCACTGCTGCAGGCAACTGGCCTGTCCCCCTCCCTTTTCCTCTTTGGGGTCCACTGAGGCAGGAAGGAGTCAAGATGAGGCTGTTGTTTCCCCAGACTACTATGATGCCGAGAGCCTCCTGTGAGGACAGATGCTGGCCCCGAGACCTGCACCGGCTTCATGCTCCAGATACAGCCTCAAGACCCTCCTGTACCTCTCTCTCCTCCTCTGTGCCCGTGGCTGGCAGTCCTTCTCCCTCCCTCAACCTCAACCAGGCCCTCTTCTCCTGGGGAATCAGTCCTTGCTCCACCCCCAGGAGTCACTGGACGGGCCTAATCTGTGCCATGGTGTAAGAGCTCAGGCAGCACCCAGGCCCTTGAAGTCACAGCAGCCGCCTCTGCCTCACCGTCCGCCAGGAGCAGGGGGAGGCCTGGGAACACAGCCCCACCCCCCACCCCTCTCTCTGGGATAATGAAGTCTCCTTCCAGCCTAATAATAGAGCCCGAGGGGAGTGGGGGTTGCTTCTGTTTTCCACAGCTTTGAAGGCCCCTTGGAGGTGGCTGGAGGGGCCCAGAGTGGTGGGGGAGACCTGGGCCCCTACCCTTCATCCCAGGAAGCAGTTCTGTTGGCAGAAAGGAGAGGTGGGAGCTTTGTCCTGATGTGGCCAGGAGTGGCCTGAGGTCTCCTGGGGCCAGGTGGGAACACAGTGTCCTCTGCCCACTGGGCCCGGGTGTTTTCCCCATCCTCCCTCAGTAGGAATGAGCTACTTAGGCCAGATGGGGGCCTGGGTGGGAAGGGAGGCATCTGGGGAAAGGAGTACCCCCATGGTGGCTCCCCTCCCTGGCTGTTGTCATCCCTGGAGGAGACACTGTGGGCACAGGGCTACGTCCAGGTGTGTGTATTCAGGCTAGAAAAGGCAATGTCCCTAGAGTCCTCTGCTGCCTGTCACAATCCTTCGCCCAGAGCTGGACCTCAACTCTGAGGAGCCACACTGAGTTCCAATGGTCACCATGGCGGTAGCCACATCACTCATGCCTGCTGTGCCCAGAAGGCCTGGGGCAGCCTCCTCCAAGCCGCTCGCACCCCGTAGGTGCCCGTCCGCCGCTGGCGCCAGTGCTGGCTGAAGATGAAGCAGAGCAGGATGGATGATACGAACAGGAACAGCAGCACTGACACCACCGTGACGATGATGACCATCTGGCTGTCTGGGACGGGCTCTGGGGATGGAAGGGCAAGGGTCTTAGACATCCCGTGATCCCAGGTACCAAGTACCAGAAGAGAGCGGAACTTGACCCCCTACCTGGCCCCCAGCCCCTGCTGCCCGCTCATCCATCCTGCAGTCACCTCAGGTTGTAGAGATGAGTGGCAAATAGTGTCTGCATTAAAATTATTATCTGGAAGAAAGGTGGCCCTGGGCTCAGGCTACCAGCAGACTTCTGTGAGACTGTGAGGGCCGATGTCCCCTTGTCAGCAGCCCTGGGACCAATATATAGCTGCTGGACACCATGGCCTGGAGGGTGGCATGGTCCCAGCCAAGCCGCTTCTCAGGCAGAGCCAAGTGAGTTCATGCCAATCACCCTGAAGACAGGGAACGTGCCGGCCATCCAGAGTCACTGAACAGCAGAGCTCCGGGGACCTTGGGGTCAGTCAGGCCAAACTTCTCATTGTAGAGAGAAGCCAAGGCCAGGAAGAGCAGTCGAGGTCATGGGCTCCATGGTGGCTGAGGAACTAGTTGAGCTCTCCTGACCTCTGGAATAGTTGGGGCCCTCCTGACCTCTGGAAAAGCTAGGGATGCAGAGAGAACTTCAGGGAAGAGGGAGAGTAAGAGGGAAGCCTGGGGCAAAGGCTGGGGTCCTGGGTGTTTTCTTCCCAAGTTGGGCTCGAGGTTTTTCTTCCCCAAGGGGCTGAGAGTGGCTTCTCACTCCCCCTCCATCCGTGGAGCCCCCTCACCATAGATCTTCAGCATCTGAGGTTCCGAGTGTTTGTGAAAGATGTCGCCACCGCGAGACAGCAAGTCCAGCACGGCCAGGCAGGAGAAGTTGCGGTGACGGTCCTCTCTGTGAGCCGTGCTACTGAATGTGGCTGTGGCCTCCTGCAGGGCAGGGGCTCCCTTCCCGAAGGTCTGACTGTGCAGAGTCTCATTGCCACGGAACAGGAAGAGGGTGAGGCTGTCCAGGGGCTCCACGGCGGGAACCCTGCACTCAATGGTGAAGGACTTGCCCACGGCTACCCACGTGGGCTGCAGTGTCAGGATGACCTGTGTTGGAGGCTCTACAGGATACAAAGGAGGGAGGTCCGGTCAGGATGGGGGTGCTGTCCCAGTAGCCTCCCCCCAGCCAGGGCCATCTCCTGTCACTGTGGTATGCCACGGTGCGGGAGGAGGTGGCCTGGGCCTCTCCAGTGCAGAGGAAGAGGGTGGTGGTTGAGGATGAAGGCTGGACTGGGTGAGTTTCACAGACATGATGGTTTCGGGTGACCAGGCATTCATGAGGACAAGGTTCAGAAATGTACAGCCAGCTGGAAAGACATAAAAGTTTGGGCCTGTCTCCCTCTCCTTCAGAAACGAAATACAGATTTCAAAAATTAAACAGGTGATGACGTTGAGAGAGACTTAGATGGGAGTGCTCTTTGGAACTGGGCACTCAAGAAACTGAGCTGTGATGTGAGGTTCTGTTTCTTACTTAGGGGCTGGGGCCAGAGCCAGACCTGCCCAGGTTCTCCAGGGTCAGGTTCATGGTCACCATGATTCCTCACCTATGAAACCACCTGAGGGGCTACCCTGGATTCCCTTTTGAACTAGAATACTTCACCCCACCTCCCACCCCAGGAGAATTATGTTGGATTTAAGATCTTTCTATTCATTGATCACTGAAGCTGATGATGGGATGGACCCAGGTGACACCCTTGAGACTAGACGTCCTATCCCAGCCCATCTGGAAGGTTTTCATGGCTCATGTGCAGGTGATAGCCACACATTTGCCATGGGCCCTAAGGGGAAGATAAAAACCCTGGGTGACACCTCAACCCTCTCATCATGAGGTGGACGGGCCCAGCACTCTGGATGGTGACCCCACTACTTGGTGTAGGACATGGGGTGCTCAGGTGACACAGCTATGTTGGGAAATGACTTCTGGATTTGGCTAAGTTTTGGTTAGATTGTCCTCCCCTAAGCAAAACTCAAAACTTGGGTTGTCTGCTTCTGAGATGCCACTGGGCTCAAGGCATCCAACCAAGGATCTTGTTCCTTGTCACCCCAGGAGCTCAGGGAGGTGGGGTCCACGATGACAGTGCCCAGGAGCAGGCACAGAGGGGATCTGTGTGCTTTCAGTAGACCAGGCTCTGCCCCAGGGGAGGGGAGGGCCCCGGGCACAGCCACTCACGGTACACGCTGACGTTGAAACTCGCTGACACCTGCTCCCCGGAACAGGTGAAGTGGCACTGGAAGACCGTGTCCTGGGAGATGTCTGAGATCAAATAATGTTTCCACTGAGTCTGCTGGGCCAACACAGTCTTATTGAGAGGGGTCTCCAGACCACCCATTTCAGGCTGGTTACAGGTGGTGCTGCAGTTGACCTCGAGGGACCCCTTGGGCTTAACCATCAGCTTCTTTGGCCTCACATGTACCTTGAATGCCTTCTCACCAGACCCTGGAAGACCAGAAACACTGGGCAGTGGTTGTCTCCCCCGCTCCCTCCAGTGGAGCTGTCCCCCAAGGCAGTCTGGCTCCTGAGTCAGGGGCTCAAGAGGAAAGGCCGTGGGGGACCTGGCTGCTACTCACCCCTTGTCAGGTATCATGGCCCCAGCTAGACCAGGAGGCCGCCCCCCAGCTGACACCCCATCTCTGGCTCTCCTTCCTCCAGCCCCCTAGCTGATACCTCCTCTGGCTCTCCTTCCTCCAGCCCCCAAGTTGACACCTGCCTCTGGCTCTCTTTCCTCCAGCCCATCTGCCCATCAGCTCCAGATGAGTCTTCTTCAGGCTGGGCTCCATCTCCGTGGAGCAGGGTGTCACTGATCTTTAAGGTCAGCCCAAATGTCCCCTGCACCGTGAAGCCCTCCCTGTTTCCTCTGTGGCCCTCCCTCCTTTTCTTTCTTCCACAAACAGTTTTTGAACACCTGCTTTGTTCAAAGCAGCAGGCTCTGGGGATACAGCAATGATCAAAGCAGACCCAATGCTGCCCAGGCAGGGCTCCAGGGAACAGTGACAGGCAGAGCACCCAGCCGGTCAGATGGCGGGAAAGCTCAGAAAGGGAGCAGGGAGTGGGGGTGGGGCCACTTTAAATAGTGTGTGCCAAGAAGGCCTCACCCAGACGGTGACATGTGGGCAAAGGCATGCAGGGGCATGGCACGCCCTGCAGTGATTCTGGGGAAGGGAGGCTGCAGTGCAGAGACAGAAAGATCACTGGAGCCCAGGAGTTGGAAGCTGCAGCAAGCTATGATCACAGCCTGCACTCCAGCCTAGACAACAGAGCAGGAACCTGTCTATAACCAAAATAAAAAATAAAAAATGTAAAGAGCCTCTGCAGGCTGGGTGTGGTGGCTCATGCCTGTAATCCCAGCAATTTGGGAGACCACGGTGGGTGGATCACTTGAGTCCAGGAGTTTGAAACCAGACCCCCCCATCTCTATTAAAAAAATACAAAAGTTTGCTGGGCATGGTGGCTCTCACCTGTGACCCCAGCTACTCAGGAGGCGGAGGTGGGAGGATCATCTGAACCCAGGGAGGTGCAGTGAGCCATAATCATACCACCGTACTCCAGTCTGGAGTACAGACAAAAACAACAACAACAAAAAACAACCTCAGCAACTTTTGGGCCATCTCTTCTACCTGAAGCCACAGGGAATGGGGCAACCCCACCCTCTCAGCTGGCATGTGCCAAATCAGGAACTGCAGGAACCTGGCTTACCTGGACAGCAGACCAGGGCAAAGAGGGCCAGGGTCAGGTTCAGGTTCAGGGTCCCGCAACTGAAAGAGAACATTTCTGGTGGTGTCCGCAGGCTCACAGGGACCAGCCAAGGGCTGCCTGGAGGGAGACGGAGGGCGCAGGTCAGAGTGCAGGTCTGAGCCACAGCTCAAAATCCCCAGCCTTCTGCAAACCAGTGACTGCATTTCCTCTCATTATCTGAGAGGTCCTTTGGAAGCCACGTGCACCAGCCGGTTCTAGGACCCCGGGCCTCTAAGAATCCAGGCAGAGGAAGCTGGGAAGCTGCTGATAAGCAGGGCAGAAACCAGTCCTCCCTGCTGGCTCCCTGTGCAAGGGGTGGGTCAGGTCACGGGTGCACACATGCCTGTGTATGAGACACATGCACACAGGACTCTGGTATACTGTGTGCACAGGAGAGAGTCAGGCCTATGAACCCCAAGTCCCATGCAATCCATTGCTGGAGTCACCCCTGGGAAGTGACCATCCAAAGGCAGGACCTGTCCAGGACATGCAGTCACCATAGCAAAAGGAGACAGTGACTTGGGCTTTTCTAAGGAAGCCTGGACAGGAAGTGGAGCTTCTCCTGCTAAACGCCTGGTGTAAGTCTGCATAAACCTTAACATTTCACTCAGTTTTCAACCTAAACTTGACCTTGACTCAGCTGATTCAGGGCCAGCTTGAGGCCCAGAGCCTCAGGAAATGCATCCCATAATAGTCCCCAGCAATCCAGGCACAGACAGAGAATGGGGGTCAGTCTAGCTACAGCCACACCCCCAAACCATGACCTCCATTTTCTGATCTGTCTGATGTCCTCCATCCTCTCCCTCCAGGAGGGAACCTTGGGCTGGGGGGGTTTGGGGCCTGAGATGTTTTAGTGTATTCCTAGGGAAGAAGCCCCCGAAGCAGTGGGCAGGTAAGGTACGGATTTCAATGGGCAAGAGGACCTTCCTGGGGGATTGCCACACAGTCTTATCCCCTAGTTCTGCCTAAGACCCCTTGCAATCAGGAAGGGGAAGAGCATGTCTTCTTGCTTTCTCAGGTGAACCCGAGATGGAGCCTTTCAAAAGGGATGCCCCAGAATCCTCAAGACTTTTGCCAAGCTCTGTTGCCAGATTGGAAGGGCAGGGTTAGATCCTGCCCTTCCCTCACTGCTGAGGCCAAAGGTGGTTACTTCTGTGCACAGCCATCAGGCGCTGCCATTGTCAGCCTGGACCCAGGAATGTCCCTGGATGGGGCACTGGACTTAGAAATGATGCAGGCAGGAAGGGGTGGGACCTGGAGCCAGCAGAGAAAAGGAGAACAGGGTGGAGCTGTACCCCCAGCCTGCAGGAATCTGATCCCATGCCAGCAAAGTACTGAGAGCAGGAAACCTCCCTGAAAATCAAGCCAGAGGCTGTGGAGGCGGTTCCAGGGGCTGGGACAGCAGGGTGGGCGTGGGGGCATTGCTGTAGTAGAGACCCTGTGTCCTCCACTGAGTCAGAATAATAATAATAACAACAACAACAACAGCAGCAAGAATAACAACATTCACTTACTACAGGTGGTACACTGTCATAAGCACTCTATAAATATTAACCAATTAACCACTAACTCTGTGAGGTAGGTGCTGTTAATGTCCCCATCTTACAGATGGGGAAACTGAGGCACCGCAAGGTTAAATGACTTTGTTCAAGGTCACATACCCAGGAAAAAGTGAAGTCACCATGAATGATAGCTTGCCATGGTGACCATCAAAGCCCCCCTGAGCAGGTGCAAGAGGAGTGGTGGGAGCTGGACTCCCAGGAGACCCTCAAGAGGGAAAAGCAACACTGCAGAGGAAGGTTCTAGGGCCTTCCTCTCCGTGAGGGGCTGGGGGGAGGGAGGTGATCCACCCCTGGAGTGCTCCAAGCAGCTTCTGGAAAGCATAGTGCTTGGGAATCCCACTTGCACACACAGTGGGACTGGCATGATTCCTTCTCCAAGCAAGGCCTCTGCAGCCCAACGTCCTCCCTTGAACCCACAGGTCCCAGTTCCCACCCCCACCTCCTCCTGTAATGTCTCCCATCCTTCCTGGGCAGGCCCTGCTTGGCTGGGACATACCAGACATGTGACCATCTATTTGTTAGAAATATTTACTGCATTCTAACCGTTGACACATCAACGTCCCTGTCCCCCACACTGGCTTGTCAACCATGAGGGCAAAAACTGAAACTCATGGACTGGTAAATCCATCCAGCGTAGGACACTGCCTGGCACACAGTAGCTGCTTCATCACTGTTGAATTGGGGGGTGGATGGATGCATGGACTGGCGAACGAATGAGAAAGTCTGTCCTAAACAAGCTGGGGTTGTTTAGGGCAAAGGCTGTGTTTATTTTTAGGTCCTAAGCATCTTTTGGTTTTGTTTGCCCAGTATCTTCTTCCTGCTACTGCTAAAGTCTCTGCTCCCCAAGGCCACAGGCTGATCTGATCATGGAAACAAGGCCAATCATGGTACCTTACTCCTCAAGGATGGGAACGTTGAGTTAGGTGTTAGCAGAGGTTTTCCTAGGACTTTCTGAACCAGAGCCGATAGGAACAAGCCCTTCCCTTTCTGGTCCTAATGCTAGAGGCACAGGAGCCAGCAGCTGTGAGTGCTCGTGCTCCACAAGTGAAGAAGCTGAAAGGAAGAAAAGTGAACTCAGTGCGGGAGCTACCCTTAATCCAAGATGGAAGGTGATCCAGAATTGCTGTGGGGAAAGTACTGGCTGTGAGGGAAGGGGCGGACTCTGGTGGGTAGCGGTCTGGGTTAGGTGGCCGGCAATGACTCTGTGTCCACTCAGGACTCATGTTGCAGAAGTGAAAGAACCTGGGAGGCAGAGTTGCAGTGAGCTAAGATCATGCCACTGCACTCCAGTCTGGGTGACAGAGTGAGACTCCATCTCAAAAGAAAAAAAAAGAAGAAAAGAAAAAAAAAGTCTGAAATCAATATCCCACTTAACCTAAGCAGTACAAAAGTTAGACAGAACTAAACCCAAAAGTGACATGGAAGGAACTAAAGATAAGAGCAATCAGTCAATCAATCCAACAAAATAAACAAAACAAAGTAAACCCCAAAGGGTAAAAACAAAGATAAGAACAGAAGCCAATCAAATAGAAAACAAAGCCATGGTAGAGAAAAGCTTAAAACCAAGTTCGTTTTGTGAAACAACAGCAACACCAAAAAAACACCTAATCAAGTGCGGGTGAGGCGGCTCACGCCTATAATCCTTGCACTGTGGGAGGTCGGGGCAGAAGGATCACCTGAGCTCAGGGATTTGAGGCCAGCCTGGGCAACATAGTGAGACATTGTCTCTCTATTAAAATAAAAAATATTTTCAAAAAAACCCTTCCCCACAAAACTCAATAGAATAGGCAAGTCTCCAGTGAAATCAATACACAAAGAAAAAGAAGGCCGGTGTAAACATGATCAGGAATGTAAATGGAAACATCAACATGAGATTAGGAAGACAATTACACAAAATCATAGAAACAGAAAATAGAGCAGCAGTTGCCAGGGGCTGTGGGGGAGGGGAAATGAGAGTCCTGTACATGCGTTTAGTTTCGGTTTTGCAAGACGACAGAGTTCTGGAGCTGGGTTGGGAAACAATGAAAACATATGTAACATTAATTATGGAGATGTACACTTAAAAGTGATTAATTTGGTACACTTTATATTAGGTGAATTTTACCACAGTGAAAAATAAAGAAGATCTAAATAAGTTATGCCACAACTTAGGAATCAAAGTAGATCAAGTTTCAGAAAAATATAACTTAACAAACTTATTTAAGAAGAAATAAAATGCCTCAATGGTTCTAAAACTATTAAAGAAATTGAATCAGGCCGGGCATAATGGGTCCTACGTGTGATCTCAGCACTTTGAAAGGTGAGGTGGGAGGATCCCTTGAGCCCAAGAGTTCGGTATCAGCCTGGGCAATATGACAAAACCTCATCTCTACAAAAAATACAAAAATTAGGCAGGTGTGGTGGCACACGCCTGTAGACACAACTCCTTGGGAGGCTGAGTTAGGAGGATGAATGGAGCCCGGGAGGTTGATGTTCCAGTAAGCTAAGCTTATACCACTGAACTCCAGCCTGAGTAACAAAGTGACATCCTGTCTCCTAGAGAAGAGAAAAGAAAAAAAAAAGGAAAGAACTTGAATCAGCAATTTAAAGATCTTTCCTTGAAGAAAATACCAGGTACAGATGGTTTTTGCAGAAGTTCAAGTAAGGGTAACTCTTTAAAAAAAAAAGTATAAAAAAAAAAGCAAAAAAAAAAAAATATATATATATATATATATATTATTATTATTTATTTTTGTTTTAGAAATGGAGTTTTGCTATATTGCCCAGGCTAGTCTCGAACTCTTGGGCTCAAGAGATCCTCCTGCCTCAGTCTCTCGAGTAACTGGGATTATAGGAGCACAACACTGTGCCTGGTTAGTAATTCTAATTTTATAAAAACTCTTTCTGAGAATGGAGAAAATAAAAACCTTCATTCTTTCCATGAGGCCAGTGTAAACTTAGTATCTAAACAAGACAAGTACAGGCAGAGAAAGCAACATCAGAGCCAGTTTTACAGAAGACTATAAATGCAGCAGTTATAAGAAAAATACTAGTAAACCAAATCTGGCAGTGTAAAAAAAAATCACGTCCTAGTGTGCGTTATCTCAGGTATGCAAAGATGGTTTAACACCAGAAGAAATGTTTTAAACCTTATTTATTATATTGGTAGTAGTAGACTTTGGTGCTCTGTGTCACATCACTTCTGCCCTCTGTCGATTTCAGCTGTCCCTACAGTAGATAATTCTGTGCAAGCCTAGACTCCCTTGAAGCTGCCAGTGCCCCTCCACCTACTCCCAAACTCAGACCAGGCTTCTTTTGCTTTTTACCTCAGGGTCTTCTTCAATGCTTTAGGAACAATTTACTTGCCAGTTAGTGATTCCCAGAAGTGTAGGAGAGTTAAGGTCCCTAGAATGCCATCCTCACCCAAATGGGGAACAGGAGCCAGTGGATATACTTTCCAGACTCCTTCTTGCCAGTGGGCAATTCTGGGAGACCTCCTGCAGTTTTATCAGAGGTCTCAGAACAAGCTTCTGATGCCTACTCCTTTAATTGGGCTTTTCCTTCCTTCCTGTCTCGTTTTCCCTGCTCCTTCACTCCTGCTTCCTGGAATCAGCTCTCAAAATAACCTATCTGAACCTAAGTCCTTGCTCCAGCCTCTGCTTTGGAACAAAGAATTCTGCTTTAGAGCAAAAGGAGTCCAAACCAAAACTTATATTAACAGATTTAAAAAGAAAAAACATATGATAAACTTAACTGATTAAAAAAATTGACCACATTCAATACCCTTTTATGATACAAGCTCTTAGCAAATTAGAAGAAAATATCCTTAACCTGATAAAGAAAACTTACTTACATATTGTTTTCAGTAAGTAAATCTTAGGAGAATTTCCTTTAAAATCAGGAACAGACAAAGATGCCCATGATTTCTGCCTCTATTTAACATTGTACCGAAGGTCGTATACATTGGAGTGAATGGAAACCAAAAAGGGAAGGGAAGGGGAGGGGAGGGGGGGAAGGGAAGGGAAAGGAAGGGAAGGGGAGAGGAGGGGAGGGGGAGTGGGGAGGGAAAGGAAAGGAAGGGAAGGGATGGAGAGGGGAGGGGAGAGGGAGGGGTGGGGAGGAAAGGGAAGGGAAGGGAAGGGAAGGGAAGGGAAGCAAAGGGAAAGGAAGGGCAGGGCAGGGCAGGGCCGAAGGAGGGAGGTAGGGAGGGAGGGAGGGAAGGATGAACAAAACTATCAGGATTTGTATAGGGTATGACTACCTAGGTAGAAAAATCCAAAAGAATCATCAGGTAAGTGATTCAAAGTAATAAGATATTTTAGCAAGGCAACAAGCTAAAAGATCAATTTTCTAAAATCGGTTGCTTTTGTGTATATCAGTAACATACAAAAAAAATTTTTTTAATACATCATTTACAACAGTCAAAAAGGTACAGCAACAAAGCTAACAAAAGCTAGAACTATAAGACCTACAGTAAGAAAATTATAATAATTTATTAAAAAGTATTAAAGATAATCTAAATAAATGGAGAGATAGCACATGTTCATGGATAGGAAATTCAGTATTATAAAGATGTAAACTCTCTAACTGATCTATAGAGTCAATGAAATTCCAACTAACCTCAATAGAGTTTTCCACGGGAACTGAAAGCTGATGCTAAAGCTTTTATGGAAGAACAAAAGAACCAAGACACCCCTAAAGAAATTGAATAAGGTGAGGGATTTGCTCTGCTAGATATTAAGACTTTCTGTAAAAGTGGTATAGGTATAGGCAAAGTAACTTACGGAACAGAAGAAAGAGCCCAGAAACACACTGATGCTTGTATGAAACTTTGATGCATGACGAAGGTGATATAGATCACTAGGTAGAAGAAGGGTCTATTAAATGACACTGGATCAACTGATTAACCATATGGAGAAAAAGGAGAAAAAGATATCCCTATCTCACACCAAATATAGAAATCAGTTCCATTTAGATTAAGGATTTATATGTGAAAGAAAAGCTTTATAAGGAAATATAGGAGAGTATTTCCATGTTCTTGGGGCCAGACCTCAAAATTGCCAATCATAAAATAAACAATTGGTAACTTTGACTAAGACACAAAGAAACATTTCAAAGACAAGGAAACATGTCTAAATGAAACGATTCTTTAACTCAAGGGTAGCCAGGGAAATTAAAATTACAATTACAATGGGACATATACTATTTTATGTGTATCAGATTGGCAAAAGTTACATCTGGCAAGACCAATTGTTGGAGAGGCCATAGGTCAATAGGCACCTTTTAACTCCTGATGAGAGTGTATGTTGGTCCTCTCAGAGAGAATTAGGCTTTATCTTGTAAACTTAATATCCTTTTTTTTTTAGATGGAATTTCACCCTTGTTGCCCAGGCTGGAGTGCAATGGCGCAATCTCAGCTCACAGCTACCTCTGCCTCCCAGGTTCAAGCAATTCTCCTGCCTCAGCCTCCTGAGTAGCTGGGATTACAGGCATGCACTACCATACCTACCTAATTTTATCTTTTTAGCAGAGAAGAGGTTTCTCTATGTTGGTCAGGCCGGTCTCAAATTCTCTACTTTAGGTGATCTGCCTTTCTCGGCCTCCCAAACTGCTGGGATTACAGGCGGGAGCCACTGCACTGGCCTAATTTTTGTATTTTTAGTAGAGACGGGGTTTCACCAAGTTGACAAGGCTAGCCTCGAATTCCTGACCTCATGTGATCCACCCACCTCAGCTCCCCAAGGTGTTGGGATAACAGGCGTGAGCCACTCCACCCGGCCACTGAATATTCTTAAACCCTAAAATTCACAATTCCATTCTTAGATGTATGCCCGAGAAACACTGTCACACTAAAAACCAGACATGTCCTTGTGTTTACTTCTTATTACCTGTGTGGGCAAAACATTTAATCTTAGCACACTATAGCCTCGAACTCCCAGCCTCCCAATTAGTTGAGACTACAGTCTTGAACCACTGCCCCTGGCTATGCCTATTTAATTTTATTTTATGAAACAGTTACATAGCAATACTGTGTGCTAGGCACTGTAATCCCAGAACTTTGGGAAGGTGAGGCGGGCAGATCACCTGAGGTCAGGAGTTCAAGACCAGCCTGACCAACATGGAAAAACCCCATCTCTACTAAACATACAAAATTAGCTAGGAATGGTGGTGCATGCTTGTAATCCCAGCTACTTGGGAGGCTGAGGCAGGAAAATCACTTGAACCTGGGAGGCAGAGGTTGCGGTGAGCCAAGATCGTACCACTGCACTCCAGCCTGGACCACAAGAGCAAGACTCCGCCTCAAAGGAAAAAAAAAGCATATGTAACATATATATACATCATACTGCACAGTAATATACCAAACATCCCTGAAGCTGCCACTCAACACAAGGATGGAATATCACCAAGTTGCAAATACCTCTTATCTCCTTTATGCTACTTGCCTCCCACCCACAGCCACTCTCTGGAATTTTGTGTTTATGGTTTTCTTGATTATTTTAAAGTGTTTTATTACATATGCATATCTATTTATTTATTTACTAATATGGGGTCACAATATATCTTTTTGAATTTTTAGTAGAGACAAGGTTTCTCCATGTTGATCAGGCTGGTCTCGAACTCCCAAGAGTTATTTTACAAAAATAATAACAGGGAAAAAGGACCTCTCTACATGCCTAGAAAGAGGAGACTTTATGGGAATATGAGCCATGGGTTAGGAAAGACCCCCTCGAACCGAGGTAGGTGGGACGTGACTGACTGAGATTCCTTATGCACCTACCACGTCTGCCGGGGAGAATGGGGACTGTTGCTTCCCCTGTGCCTCAGCTCAGACGGCCCAGATCATCACCTACGTGGGCCCCTAAATCAGGAGGCAGCCCCACATTTCTACATCGGCCACCCAGATGGCAGAGCAGGAGAGGAAGGAGTGAAGGGAGACAAAACAGGAGAGGTGCACCAGGGCACTTGTGTGAGCTCGGAGACCCACCAGCGCTGGAGCTTCGTGGAGTTCGGGATGTGGAGCCAGAGGAGCACTGGGGATCCCCAGCCCCTACACTTACCAGGGAAGACTGAGGCCCAGAGAGGGGAACGGACTGGAACTCAGACCTTGACACTGCCAAAATTCCTCCTCTACCTCCAAGCTTCATTGGAGGGAAAGTGAGAAGCTCGACCTTACCCCTGTGGGCTCCAACGAGAGCAGCTCCAGAATCCCGGGCAGGAAATTAGTGACAAGGTAACAAGGTGCACGTTTCACAGATGCCCAGTTCAGGGCTTGTTATTCAGGCTTCTCCTCCCCCCACCAGAAGTGACGTGCTTCCTGTGCCCAGGTTCCCCCCTAAACTAGCCTCATTTAGCTCCACTCCTGCCCCACCTTTTTTTTTTTTAATTGTGGTAAAATTTACACAACAACATTTACCATTTTAATTTTTTTTTTAGACTGACTCTCAGTCACCCAGGCTGGAGTGCAGTGGTGCGATCTCAGCTCACTGAACCTCCAAGGTTCACGTGGTTCTCATGCCTCAGCCCACTGAGTAACTGGGACTACAGGTGCATGCCACCATGCCTGGCTAGTTTTTTATTTTTAGTAAAGACGGGGTTTTACCATGTTGGCCAGGCTGGTCTCAAACTCCTGACCTCAAGTGATCTGCCTGCCTTGGCCTCCCAAAATGCTAGGATTACAGGTGAGAGCCACCGGGCCTGGCCAATCCTTTGTTGTTTTTAAGACAGAGTCTTGTTTTTGTCACCCAGGCTGGAGTGCAGTGCCACTATCACAGTTCACCACAGGCTCCAACTTCTGAGAAGGGAGCTCAAGTGACCCTCCCTCTTCAGCCTCCCAAGTGACTGGGACCGCAAGTGTGCAGCCACCAGGCTCAGCTAATTTCTGTAGTTCTTGCAGAGGCAGAGTCTTGCTTATGTTACTCAGCCTGGTCTCAAACTCTTGAGTTCAAGCAATGCTTCCACCTCAGCCTCCCAAATGCTGGGAATGAGCCACCATGCTCAGTCCATTTTAATTATTTTTAAGTGTACAGCCTGGGGCACTAAGTACATTCAAACTGTTCTGCAATCATCACCACCATCCATCTCTGGAGTGTTTTCTTTTTCTTTTCTTTTTTTTATTGAGACTTAGTTTCACTTTGCTGCCCAGGCTAGAATGCAGTGGCGTAATCTTGGCTCACTGCAACCTCTGCCTCCCGCATTCAAGTGATTCACCTGCCTCAGCTTCCTGTGTAGCTGGGACTATAGGCACACACCACCTGGATAATTTTTTATTTTTAGTAGAGACGGGGTTTCCCCATGTTGGCCAGGCTGGTCTCGAACTCCTGACCTCAAGTGATCTGCCCTCCTTGGCCTCCCAAAATGCTGGGATTACAGGCATGAACCACCACACTTGGCCAGAACTGCCTTCCTTTTGAAGGCTGAGTAATACCCTATTGTGCGTGTGTGCCACATTCTGTTCAGCCACTCACATGTTGACAGGCACCTGCGTTGCTTCCACCTCTGCCTATTGTGAATAGCGCTTCTATCAACTGGGTTGTACAAATACCTGTTCGAGACCCTGCCTTCAATTCTTTGGGGTATGTACCCAGAAGTGGAAATGCTGGATCATAATGGAAAAATATACACAACAAAAGTTACCATTTTAATCTATTTCTTTTGTTTATTATTATTATTTTTGGGCTTAGTAGCTCACACTTGTAAATCCAGTACTTTGGGAGGCTGAAGTGGGAGGATTGCTTGAGCCTAGGACTTCAAGACCAGCCTGGGAAACAAAGTGAGACCCCATCTCTACAATAAATAAATAAATAAAAAGGTAATTTGGTTTAATTTTTGAGGACTCGCCATCCTGTTTTCCTTACTCCTTCCTTTGATGTGCCATTTCTATATTCACTGGGGCCTTCTGTGAATGAGGCTGTTCCAGGACAAGCTGCCTTCTGGTCCCCGATGTGAGATAGGCTGAGATCACAGAGGTGAGCCTTCCCTGGCTGTGACATATCACTCCACAAAAGCCTCTTATTAGAGACTAAGCCATCACTTCCTCAAATCTTATCAGACCTGCCACCTCGCCTAGCAATTTTAGAAAAATTGCTCTAAAAAAGTGACTTTGTACAAGCAAGCAGAAAGTATGAATGCTGGCCATCTATGCAACTTTTAGCAATCCAGGTGCTAGATCCACCCAGAACTTTCAGATTACGCTGTGTACCCACTTTGAGAGCTGCACACACAGTGCTGCTGTTGAGACCACTTTCCATACTTCCTCAGGCATCATTCGGGCCAAACCCCACTCTGCAAACCTCCTCCCTCAACTTTGTGGCTTCTGAGCAGATCACTTTCCATTTCCATTTATTTATTTTTCCTCCTTGCTTGGTTTCTGGCACATTCCTCTTGGAACTGCCAAGATCATGCTAAGTAAATATTTTTGAATGTAAGCCAGAGACTTGGTCTTATGAGACACGTATTTTATAGCAAGGGTTCTCAAACTTGAATGTGTATGAGGACCACTGGGGGGCTTGCTGCAACAGCCCACTGGGCCCCACCCCTGGAGTTTCTGAGTAGTAGGTCTGGAGGGAGTCCTGAGAATTTTCTGCATTTCTAACAAGTTCCCAGGTAATGCTGTTGCTGGTGGTACCAGCATCACCTGGGAACTTCATAGAAATGAGGACCACACTGTTTTAGCAGAACGAGAAAGTGTTCTCAATTTACATAGTGTCCAGCTAATCAAAACCACAGGTAGAAACCAGAGGCACCACCGGCCTACAGACTAACAGATTGTGAGCTCAGTCTGGCAGCCTGGAATGATAAGGATCTGTGTCTGGATCTCTGCTGAGCCCCCGGCTGGCTGTGTGATCTTAGGCAAGTTGGGTAACCTCTCTGAGCTTCAGTTTGCTTATCTGCAAAATGAGGTAATAATAGCCAACGTCTGTGACATGCTTGCTACATATGCCACACACTGTTCTAAGCACTTTACAGGTATCATCACGTTTCATCCTCATAACAAGCCTCTGGGTAGATACTGCTGTTATTCCTCTTGCAGATGAAGAAACTGAGACATGGTAGATTTGCTGGCGAGCAGTAACTGGCACACAGCCAGCAATCTGGGCAGTTGGGACTACACGGCTACGCTTTCATACTAGAAAGCCCCTCTCGCCCCCTTCAGATCCCCCATTGAAGGGCTTCTGGGAGGAAAGCATGATGATTTGTAAAACACTGGCCGATAGAGTGGTACACAGAAGCGCTCAAAAAAGTTTGTGGTTATTGTGAGTTGGTGCCTGGACGTGCACCTATCTGTGTCCTTGTAGTCTGTGCCCAAGGACACCCCAGCATGTGTGTTGACTACTGTACAGACCCACAGAATATCAGACCCCAAGATCATGCCAGGAGGGGGCTGTCCATATTATATGTTCATTCTTGGATCCTTGGATGGGACCAGGTTGTGAATATGCATCACAGAAAACTTATCGGTGAGTGAGGAATTGAGTTGTTTACAAAACCAAGCCCTTGCCGTCTTCCTAGACCTCAGCCTCATCTCATCAGCGCCCCCTGCGGAGTAGGAGGCCGTGGACATGCTGAACACGGAGGCTCGAGAGGATCAGAGACTGCACCGTGCACCACCTAGTGGCCAAAGTGAGCAGGTACCCTAAAAGGCACAACGCCCTGTAATCTGCGGTAAATCATATTCCTTGCGATTCCGCAATCACAAGTAGATTTGGAATGGGCTGGGATCCTGAGACACTATTTATAAGGAGGGCGGTCTATGTAGATGCACTAATTTGAGGGAGGGAGAGGCTGGGAGGGTCTCGCGGAGAAGAGATGTCTTCTCTCTGGTAATCTTGGACTTGAAGGTAACTGCCAGCTGCCATTTTTCTTGCTCTAAGCTTTACTGCAAAGGAGAGAATAAAACGGAGATGCCTTACTAGGAACTCAGGTGGGAAAATAAATGGTTTTCTTAGGAAAGATGCAGAGGCAGCAAGCTGAGGCAAAGTCCAAGAGAGTTGAGGTGTGTTTTTTGTTGTTTGTGGACAGAGTTTTTGCTCTTTTCACCCAAGCCAGAGTGCATTGGCACAATCTCGGCTCACTGCAACCTCTGCCTCTTGGGTTCAAGTAATTCTCCTGCCTCAGCCTCCTGAGTAACTGGAACTACAGGAGCCTACCACCATGCCCAGCTAGCTAATCTTTGTATTTTTGGTAGAGATGGGGTTTCACCATGTTGGCCAGGCTGATCTCGAACTCCTGACCTCAGGTGATCCAGCCGCCTCAGCCTCCCAAAGTGCTGGGATTACAGGCATGAGTCACTGTGCCCAGCTTAAATGAGGTGTTGTTTTTGTTTTTAAAATCAATTTGGTACTACCAGGCATTTGTTTTTTAAAATGGCTGCAGTTGTATATCTTTCTGCAAATATTGCCATGTGGCATTCTGGGCAACCTGGCGTCTGACCCCCTCCTTAGGAAGTGTGTTAGGGGTGTGACCACATTCTGCTCTGGAAGTGCACAGGGCCAGACACCCACTCTCCCAGCTTCCTTTTCCTGTCCCTGACCACCCATGCTTGACTGGGAATCAGGGAAGGACTACACAAAGCAGCAGAGACTAGGATGGCCTTTGCAGCTGTGTCCAGAGGTGATGGATGGCTGTGGCATCTGGACCCAGCAGGGCCTTTAGTTCTGGGATGTGATCTGGCATCCCTTTGACAACACTGCTACGCAGACTCTCCTCTCTGCTGGCCTGAGCACTTGAGTGCCAGGGACTGCCAAACTTCTGTTGGCGTCTAAAACAGAGGCAGCAGCTGATAAGGTCAAGGCCTCAACCACCTCCTGGGGCCACTGTTACCCCTGATGAGGGAGCGCCTTCTTAACGTCCCCATCAGAATCCAGAGGCGAGTTAGCCCACTCATATGAATAGCCCTGGGTCTCCTCAGCCTGACTTCAGCCCGAGCTCTCTCTCATCCACATTCAGCTCAGCATTTCCCTTTGTTCCCAACACTCCCCATTTGTCCTCTGCAGCCTGCTTTCCTGGAGAGTTTACCCTCATTCCTCACCTCTTCACAGACCCTGCCTCCGTGTGCTTACCCCAGTGCAGCCTGGTCCTCCTCTGAGGATACCTCTTTTCTCCTCATTCATTCCTCCTGAGCAGGGGCTTCCTGTTTCTTGCTCGGGATGACCAGAGCAGGCCTTGGGTACAGGCTGGCTCCCTACGGCTTCAGTGTTCCAGAAGGAAGCCCACCACTCTTGTTGGCTGCTCCTCAGGTGGGTGGATCACCTGAGGTCAAGAGTTTGAGACCAGCCTGGCCAACATGACG